GATCTGCTTGATGTATGAGCGTGTCTGTTATCGCCTCAAAGAACCATTCAAGGGTCTTTGGAGTAGTGCGTTGCAGAGACAAGTTTCTCACCATCCATTTGGACGACAAGGCCAAGACGGTTTCGTTGAACAGGTTAAAGCCGGGCGTCGCGGATGGTGGGTCCGACGTTTCCTTTAATCCTCCGACCATTCAGCTGCCACCCTTTAGCCCCCAGAATCCCATAACTCATAGGGAAACCCCCAACCGTATATAGACGTACCAGTTTTCGGTCATTCCCTCCATGTGCTTTGCCACCATCATTTACAGCGGTTCGCGCAGGTCAGCCAGGGAAGTTGCCTCGTAAATTACTACGGATACAACAGACAGAGAACGGAATCATTTCAGTTTTTAATTATTCGCTGGTAGCTCTGATCCGCAGACATACTATCATAGATACACAAAACAGGTTGTAATGGCTACTGAATTCTGAAGTAATCTGAAGAGTTTTAAATTTCTCTGCATCTCCTTTGGAGGGCAATACACTCGCGCCCCTGAGAGCAGTGCGACTGGAGGTAGTTGTGTTGTTTTATTGTGCTTCTTTCCCATATCATACATTGGGCGATCAGCAAAACGGGGTACTCTCGCCTTGTGATCTCGGAGTTTCTTCGGGTTTTATAGATAATGTTTCCGATTTTTTTCACGTCCGGCATTCTGTGGGTCGCAACAGGTACATGCATCATTAAGAGGAACATCTGATAAAATAATATAATCTTACTTGTCCTTAATTTACTAGGTGCTCTTTATCAGAAAAAGAGTGATAATGCTTCTTTGTTTCCTAACGTTTTGACTGCGTGTTCATTTTCGCCCATGTTTTGTTGCGTATAATGACGAAGTATCGTCGAGCACTATCATCAAGTTTAATATATTTTATTGCTACCATCAGTCCAGCTCGAAAGCCCGTTTTTTCCTTTAAAATTGATAATAAACTATCCAACATGTTCACCCTTCGATGAAAACTCCCTCCGACGCGTATGAGGCGTTCACTAGAAAGGTACTTTGTCTAAACTTCTTGGTTATTCTAATTTTCTTGATCTATAATGAGCCTAGCTGACCAGTGTGCTGGAATATCCGCAACACCAAAATGTTTGGTATTGCGTGTGGAGGCGAAAACAGAGGTACCTTTGGAGCTGCTGTTTCAAACACTGGAGACACCAGAGATCCCCTGTTTTCGTAGTCTTCCTTTGGCATCCGAATGTGCAATACGCAATAAGACAGTATATGTGGAGGTGTGTAATAAAATGGCCTGGGATTTTGACCTGCTGAATGATGTTGACAGTAGATTCTTATGTATTGAAGTGGAGGCAGGACTTTTTGGTGCATTTTCAGACAGCCAGTGTTTGTGTCAGGTAGCAAAACTTTGGGCGGTAGAACGAAATACTCGGCATGCAGCCATTCCATTTTCCAGCCACACTAGAGGAAGAATGCCGCTTTCTAACAATCGGTACAATGCACCTATCATACCCGGAGGTACCGCGAGAGTCACCAAACCAAAAAATCCAAACGTGAGGCACGAAGTTGGGTACTACTTGTCCAGAAAAATCGTGCCAAAGCATTCGTGTCAACTGTGTCGGCAGCCTACTCCCATGAGGCTACCCGGATTCATATTTGTCGGTGCACGCACTTTAAATGAGATGAGCATATAAATAATTTTTGGTTTTTCTTTGGTATGACTACACCTAGCGTGTCTCTGGTTTGCCCGAAAGTCTTGCCAATAGGGTGCGCTGACGTCTCGACAGAAGAGTGACCATCATTCTCCAAGGCCCGTACAGTCAGAAAGTTGCTCATCGGCTGCGAGCGCCTTTATACTGGGCGATGGAGGATAGCATACGTGTAGGGGCCAGTCCCACAAACCGACAGATAGAGCAGTTTCCTCGAATACTTTTATCTGAGGTCTGGAAATATCACTCGGATCTTCGTTGTGCAAGTGAGAGCATAAACGTACTCCTCAAACCCCTATCCCATCCAGAATTAGGTTTCGAGGTGTCAAAATTAGCACTCGGAGAAGTGTGAAGGTAATCACCCGGGTGTTAGCATTCACATCCGTGGTTTATGAAAGCGTTAGTGAGCACTGAGCGGAGGTCCTAGATGGATGTTTAATATGGTTGTTGTAAGATGGTGTCTGGCCCGGAGATTGGAAGTGCGTAGCTGCTTAAATGTCGAGCCTCTGGCTCCAACACAATTTCAACAGCCTTTTTCTTGTATGGACCCACTTCTTTAGGCTTACATTACTACTGCATGTCTTCCGATGCATATTGCACCATGTTCTCGCCCACACTCACCGCTATCCTTCTATGGCCAGTTTCGGTGGTTGCTACCTTTTCGACCGTCCATTGGCTCCAGTAAACAACTTTATAGCGGCTGCTGTTCCTTGTACCGAGACTAATTGCCATTCGGTACACTTATGGATTTTACCGTGTAAGGCGATGGGAAAGTTCTCTCGAGCTGAACGAGTTTTGGTTGAAAACATCTGAATAGCTCGACTTCGTGAAACGGAAGGATAATTTAATCAGTTTACTACCAGTTTCGGTGGTTGCTAGCTGTTCGACCGTCCAGTGGCTCCAGTAAACAACTTTATAGCGGCTGCTGTTCCTTGTACCGAGACTAATTGCCATTCGGTACACTTATGGATTTTACCGTGTAAGGCGATGGGAAAGTTCTCTCGAGCTGAACGAGTTTTGGTTGAAAACATCTGAATAGCTCGACTTCGTGAAACGGAAGGATAATTTAATCAGTTTACTATGAGCTCCGAAATGCATACCAAATGTGCTCAACAAGGTAGACCAAGGAGTTGTAAATCATATTACTGTGATTTCCGGACATTTGATCCCGTTGGTCAGTGACCTTTGTTACACAGACTGGTAGTGTATTGCATCAGAAAGCCCGCTGGGTGGGAACTCCTCGAAAAGGTTGAACTTCAAGGGTCAATACTACGCAGGAAAAACCACAGCCAGACGTCGCTACCAGTAGACCCCCACCCAAGATGCGACTTTGTCCCTTATGGGTGCACATGAGCATGAGGTCGAATCGCACACTCCTCTTCAATTACACATGATGGATGGTACAGAGTTTCAGACGGTCTCTTAAACATTCACAAGTGAACATATTCACCCTTTGTGATGGATTCAAACCTGCGGTTTGGCATGGTTGTGTAACGGCTTATACTACTGAAGAGACATGCGAGTGGTCTGTAGCCATGCCGAAGCGATGCCTCGCGTCTAATGGAAGGTGAAGCTTATTATGGAACTTGTGGGACTGCTTTGTAGTATTCGTCAACATTTGTGCAACCGTGAATGAATATTCACAAGACTTTCAGATGATGCATGGGAATGCTCAGCTTTAAAAACGATGTCCATATGAGACGTATACAGTCCTGCTCAATAGCTTGTAACTGCTTAGTTGGTGTTTGCTAATCAACGACTTCGTGGTGAAGGGTCTCCTCCTTCGTCAGTAGCAGAAATAAAAGTGGAAACCAACGACCTAGGCAACTTACCGACTAGAGAAAACGAGGAACGGTTAAAAACACGAGGGCCTAATTCTTTCCTCGGTGGGAGCGAGAGCCAATAAGCACCCTGATGTGAACCATACTGTCCTATAGGTACTACACTCCAAGTTCACTTGACACCAATTGGAACATCGTATCCTGGCTTCAATAGCCGAATGCATGTGAATGACGAAATGAGACTGCCGGTTTTCTCATGGCACCAGTCGCATAATTTGTGACGGACTGGACAGGTGAAATTTCGGACAAGTGCGTCACTGTGAACAAAAATATGCCTAGGTAGATATTCACGCTTTACTGCTGCTCGCCTTCCAGGATGGGGACCGCGTGATCCTCACTGTGCCTGGTTGAAGACACTACAAGATATGGCTGCCAACCGATGTCAGTGGCGTTATTGTTGTCGGTTTTTGTTTAGATCGCCTGAGTGAGTGTCTGGAGGATAGGCACCTTCGGAATGATTGTAGTAAGCTAGCACAAAGTCCCTTCCCATTCACCTTTATTCTTTTCTTCACAATAGGGCTTCCAAATAAATGGTAGTTCTACGGCAGCGAAGCATCGTGTCGTGCTATCGATGGTGATGATGGGAGACTAATGAAAGAACTCACTGTAGGGAAACGACAAGTCATTCGCCCATTTCAAAGACACTTGAACGAACAACATCGGGGCCTGATAGGCTCAGAATTCCTTGTTAGAATCACCCAAAATAAGCCCAAGCAAGAAACTCTAACAAAACCATCACTACTTGGATGAGTTACTCGTCCTATAGGTTCCCCAGTCACACGCGAGAAAAACCAAGCGGACTTCAGCCACGAAAACCCCAAAGCATTCACGTTGGGTGGCCATCTCCACTTCCCAATCCCATAAGTATTACATGGTGTAAATCTCAAAAAGAGTCGTCCACCGTTTCGGCGATTCCCACTCTGTCCGTCCGTTTTGTCTGCGGATACACTGAAGCCAGCTAAAGCCTGTTGTTTTGAAGACAGCGGTGATCGACCGTCCGAGGGAGTCGCACGAGCCCCGTCAACTCTCACGGTCATTAAGAGGCTGTCGACAATTGTTTGTAGACACGGCCCCACAGATTTAGTGAAATCCTCCCCTGGAGCCAAAGATGATGCACTTCGAAGGATACAACGTATGACTTCACAATGCGTGCGTTGACTTCACCTATAACAGATATGTGAACCTATGAGCGAATACAAACTTCTCTTTGGGTTTTCAGTGTAGACAACGCGACGGAGAACTTGAAAGCGCTAAAAGTCCAATCGAAGTGGTTTGGCTAGAACCCAAAGAACCGCGTGTGCGCACTAACGAAAACCGCTGCGTTCGCCTACAGTGTCAACCTACTCGGCTGAAGACGGTAGATTTCGAATCAGCGATATCCATTCATTTACAGAATCCAGAAGGACCCTCCAGATCACGCATCCACCGAATAGTCTATTTGCTAGTGACGTATGGATGACAGCCGGGCCAGTGGGAAAGTTTCATTGCCATAAAGTGCAGAGAAGAGAAAAACAATCACAAAATACGGGAAGGTCAACAAAGTCACTGCAAAGAAAAGAAAATATGAGTCTCCTGAACCCGCCTAGAAGGTTGGCTTGCACTTCTTTATTTCATTCATGATGTGGTGAATGTTGATTAGTTGATTTCGAATTGGCATATTTTTGAACGGGCTTTGCGACATCACCTTCTGAAAACGATGGTAGTGTTGAACCAACTCAGCCAGTAATGCCTAGAATGAATGAAAAGATGAGCTGTGACAAAAAAAGTAAGATGACAATAAAGCAAACGGAAGCTTTAGAGACACGGTGGTACAGCTACACTACACTATAGTTCAACGCTCATATCCGTTTCTAAAACTGGTACGGGTATACGTACACCCAAAACACAGGGTTCCTCGAACAAAAACATCCACACAGTGGTCGGGAAACAAAACGTTTCACGGCAAGAAGTCAGCTAACGATGACATTGTGGATGAACTAGTTTGAGACACGAAGCTCCACATCGCTCAATCGTAGATTGCGGAAGTACCTAAAATGGTTGCAAGGCCGCCTGATGGGGTCTAGTCGAGTCGTGAACGAAAGTGTATCTATCGGGGTGAGTGTGGCCTGTTGCCACCACGGTAGCGACAACAGCAGATATAAAAGCAACCACCCTCGGCGATCCACAGATGAGACAAGCAAGCGAAACAATCGCGTGATCAGTGTTGATTTATTGTGACCATCACTGTCGACCTCTACAATGAAGACGGTAATGAAACCCCTGTATTGAGGAATCACTTGAATCAGCTGCAACCGCTAATCCGTAGCTATTTACACTTACCTTCCTAGATCATCGACGAACAAAACTGTGTTAGCTATAACCATCGTATAACGAACAGGCTCTACACCAAGTGCAACCGAAATTGGTGATTGTCGCGAGCGAATAACCGGCGAGTATGCGTGGTAGGTCAGGTGTATGAAACGGTCAATCGGTATGGAAACCGAACACAGATACCGCACATGACTCAGGTTTTCGCATGTTGATATAAGGAAGGACGCTGCTCCAAGAGCTAATAGAATGCGAGGGATGAGGATCACAACGTAGCGCAAATTTTAAATGCGCCGATGAAATTACAGTAAAGCTGTTTCTTAATTGTTCAACCACATCAAGAGATATCAGCGTGAGTAAGTAAGGAGGAAGCACCAACTCTGGCGATGGCTTCACGATTGATGACAAAACGCCTGCAAGCGAATTGTTAAACTTAGCTAGCAGATCAACAGCCACCTGATCTGTAAACAGGCAAAAAGTCACCAAAATAGTGTTTACTTGGGAAACCGGGCGTGCGCAGGGACAACCCGGTAGCGCGTTCATGCAGTAGTCTCAGTCATCTTCTCAAAAGTACCTGTAAATCTAGAATCTGTTCAGTATGAATTGCCATCCCAGTTCACTCAGTCCAAAAATACGGTAATATCGCGCATCCAAAATACTCACAACACGTCATTTTCAAGTAGCCTCAAGTTGGCATCCAAAAGCTTACAGTCATTCAAACTATTCACAACACGTCATTTTCAAGTAACCTCAAGTTACGTCGCTCATGGTGAAGCTGTGAACGAATTGCCAACGTGCAGGGCGTGTTTCTTACTGGAGGCATGAGGCACGAGGGCTGGGATACTGTCAGGTTGCCCAAGCCTGGGAAGTCGAGAGGCGAAGTCGGGTTCGAACCACCAGTAAACTCGCGCTCTAACCACTTTGGCCATCTCGCCCCATGCGTCCTTACCCGTCCACCGATCCATGCTGAAATGATACCTACTTTACCAACCCCACACTGGTACAGCGTTCATCCTACCTGAGTAATACCTTGGGAAACAGCTCTATTGTTCAGCTGTAGCACCATTTCGGTGCCTAACTGCCATGCCACCCGAAAGTTGCACGAGGGTTGGGATACTGTCAGGTTGCCCAAGCCTAGACAGGGGAAGTTGAGAGGCAGAGATCGGGTTCGAACCACGGACCTTCCGGTCAGTAAATTCGTGCTCTAACCAATTGGTCCATCTCGCCCCTGTTTCCTACTGACCGGGTTCTGAAATGGATAATGCGGTGTACTGACGAGATCAAGATCAATGGTGAGTAAAAACTGGGGGGACCCTTACCTGAAATACTTCCGTACCAAGTGTGAAATTGGCGAATTCCACCATTATCTCCCCGTGGATTTTCTCAATGGAATTTTTCCAATCAATATTGAAACCTTTGATTATCCTGGTGACACGGGCTGGAAAACAAAATCCACAGATTTTAGAGAACGGATTTTTTGATGAACAACGATAGTACAGATAGAAGGTCTATGAAAGTTTGGACTGAGAAACGAAACTTCGATGTTGAACCACTAAACTGTGAAAAATAACGCGGGATTCTGTGCCTGGTGGAGAATGGGTTATTGTCCTTGTTGAATGAAGACTAACCCCCCCTCAGGATTAAACTACCCATGTGATATGGCCGGCGGGTAACTTCCACGGCTTTGTGGACATGAGTGCTCTTACGAGGTTCAAAAAGTCCGTGCGATCCGTCGAACTGAACGCAGAAATCCAACATTATCGTCGGAGATGGGTACCTACACTAGTCCACAGGGGCGCATTTGCGACAACATCCCGCAACACAACTGTCAGATGGAAAAATCTGCATTCAGGTGCCATTTGAAGCGCTGAAAAAAGGGGATTTGGCACCTAACTGCTGCCAAAGACAGGCATCACAAATGAGGATGCACTTCAGCAGTGATCGGATCACCAACGCTGACAAAGTGCCGATCTGAAATTCTCTCTTCGTTGCGAATTCGTTATCTTGCAAATGTAGCTTGTGGAGAGCTAGGCGTTTATCTATAGATTTACATCACAGCTGGATCAGCTGACTATGGGATCAGTGTTACCATCAACCACCGAGTCAATCCGGTTGAATCATTCGGCATAAACTATCGTCATCCAGCAAAAAGCTCTTCACCAACGAGTCGGCAAAGCAGCTGAGGCAATCCATGTAAGGAAAAACGACTCCCCTTTGTGCCATCAGATGTGACATGCAAGGAATCGACCCTTCGCCATGGTCCATAACTCACGTGGTCGTCCGATCCCAACGGCAAAACAACATCACGTTCTAGTTTAATTTCAATTTCTGTTTTGGAGCTGTCTTAAGCGATAAGACGAGGCGAGAACTAATGAAAGAAGTCTCATAAGACTGACAACACACCCCGTTGTGACGTTTGTGCTGAAATTTCAGCAGTTCTGCCCCGAGTGTGTAGCCAGTCTAGCAGAAGAGCCTTTGGTAGCCTTATCTGTTTCCTATGAACGGGTATGATTAGCCTGATACAGACCGATCAGCTGTTTATTGAGTGATACACGTGAGTTTACATTTGGAAGCCTGGTTAGGGAAACTAAATAGCACTTTAAAAACCGCGCTCATATGACCTGTGTCGACTAAACGGGTGACAATGGGCTTCCAAGTTGCTGTCAAACGTATGATTCTGATAGTGTGTTGGCCAGTCCTTGAGAGAACGGAGGCATATACGAAGAGACATCAAATTTGAAGTGAGACAAAATAGAACATCAGTGGGTTTTCTGTATGCAGATGTTGTATGCTTTGTTCCGAGGTGACGATCGGGAATGCACACCCGTCAGTGAAGTCAACACTGGGCCAAATCACTTAACGCTTTCAGCCATAGGCAGTTAATATTGCTTAGCTTCCAACTTGCTGGCTGCCAAAGCATCCAAACCCTTTGGACATGTCGTTAGTTGACCACATCAACTTTTTCTTCTGCTAGCTAGCACAAGTAGTGATCGGTTTTTGGTGTGTGGCGATGACACATACGCGAAGCGTACCCCAGACATCATGATCAGTGGGTTGAAATCACGACTTCGTAATGCTAAGCGCTGACGACGCGACTTGCCTTCAAAATCTAGCCTTCCCTGTGATAAAACGGAGACGCCGGATGATATGACTGCGAACAAAGACTACCGGTTCACACAGTCTGTTTCCACCCGGTGTTTGGAGGTGTAGACACCCCGAATGTTTGTGGCAGGCTAACATTAGGTCCTCTCACCGCCTCCAAATTTCATCAAAAAATCGTCCTGTGACGAGTCGCTTGAGCAGATCTACCAAACTTTTGAAGCAAGGTATATAACCGGGTCCCTTCCCAGGATCAGTAGAACAAAGCTACACGAATCATCATCATCGACAGCATTACATCAGGGTTCAACAGCGATGCTTCACTGCCGTACAACCATGATTTATTTGAAAGCCTTATTGTAGAGAAAAGAATAAAGGTGGACGGGGAAGGGACTTAGTGCTAACTTACCACAATCATTCCGAGGTGCCTACACCTCCAGACACCCACTCGGGCGATCTGGATAGAAACTGACAACAAGAACGCCATTGAAATCGGTTGGCAGTCATATCTTGTAGTGTCTTCAACCAGGCACAGTGAGAATCACGCGGTCCCCATCCTGGAAGGCCAGTAGCACCGACAGCATCCATACTATCAACTTTTTTCAGGGGTTGGCCACCTCTCTGTTTACGCCACTCCGAATTGGGCATGGAAAACAGCACTCTCTTCGGCAAACGATGGTTCGGCATACGCAACACGTGTCCCAACCAACGCAGCTTCTGGTGCTGGACACATTCTTTAATGGAAGTACCCGTTACACAACCGAAGACGCGCTTTCTAACTGCCTCATTACGGGTTCGCCGACACCAACTCACACGAGCTATGGTTCTGAGACAACGATTGTCGAACACCTGAAGACGTCTCAGTTCCGCTGCTCGAATAGGCCAAGTCTCACAGTCATACAACAAAACAATCTGTACTGTAGCTTGATACACACATCCCTTAAGATTCAGGGATGAAACAGTGTATTGTCCAATTCGATTCTTGGTTTCCTTGATTCATTGTCTGGATATTTTAGGTGTAACCTTGGAACAGTAGTCCTATTTTCAACCCATTCTACGGCAAAACATACACCCGAGGAGGGGAAAGTCAAATCTGCTGGTAATCGACTGGTTGTGTCGACCTTGTCATCAGTTACACAGATCAAAGGAATTCCACACAAACAAATCCGCTAGGAGGGAACTAAGCCCGGATGTCACGGAAACACCATAGGATTTCTCGTAAGGACAATCGGTGAACAGAAAATACGCACGTGCCGTGAGTAATCTGCGCAAAAAACGTGACAGGAGAAATAATACCTGTGTGATAAAAACTATGGAAGAGTGGTAAGACGACCAGAGATGTTTTCACATTCCTGATTTTGATGTTAAATTCAAAAGTCCATGAACTTACAAGGATTAAATAACGTGATTAATCCATCTAACTAGGATACCTCCATTCAAGTCTTCCAGTCATCGTACAATCAACTGACTGTAGGCCACTTGGTTAGGGCCAGAAACACTTAAACCTGTGAGTGAGTTGTGTTAACCCGAATGTCGGGCAGATATACGGCTTCGCGGGAACTTACCTTCATCACTGCGAACAGCTGATGAGCGTTCCATTTGATCGATACCCGAGGCGGGTGGCGAGGCAGGAGGATTGGCTTGAAAGTCGTGTACGAAGGCGATTAGACTTCCGAAATACGGCGTAAGGGCCTCGTTAATGAACGCCGCGGTGTACTTGGCCGCTGCCTCACGACATCGATTCACTTCTGGTGCATTACCTGCCCCTCGTTCCTGTGAACACACAATGCAACAGCTGGATATCTATATCTGTCACCACATCTATACTCAATATCTACAAATAGGTTGAAATCGAGTTCATTAGTTGTGTTGACAGAGCCAAATCAGACGTACTTTTTGATCCAACTTACTTTATGAGAGCGTTTCGAAGAACGCCACGCGAGAATTCACTGTAAAACGCAGTTTTCTACAAGGTGAGTGGACATCCTAACGAAAGCAGACACTTGTGACAAGATCTTATGCATGCTCCTAGAGTATACAACATTTGAAGTATATACGGGTCCCTATAATTCCAAAATTAACCCTAACCAACTTGTTTGTCAGATGACGGACCGAACTGCGAAGACGTGGAAGGCAAAGAACGTCATAGAAACCGCCAGCAACCAAGGTGTATGCCTTTCGAGAGAGTATTACACTACTTTTGGTCTAGCTGCTGTTTGACTCGAACGCAACATCCAAACAACGTGAAAATCTGCTTGATTTCATCGGAGTAAAGCAGACGTCGCCGGGTGGACTGCTTAGTTCCGAGTGTAACTCATCGGAACAACAAAACGAAACAAGGTCAGCGTCCACTTCAAGAAGGCTCAGTGTTTAAGGCGCCAGCTTACAGACTGGAAGATCCGTAGTTCAAACCCAACCTCAGCACCTCGACTGCTCCTGTCTAGGCTTGAGTAACCTGACAGTATCCCGGCGCTTGTGTTTCCCTCAAGTGGCATGGTAGCTGGGCACCGAAAGATTGTTACAGCTGTGTTTGTCCTAAACGGCCATGTTTGAGGAATTTTAGCGACGCAAGAAATCTACATTGTAGACTCCTTCAGGAGGCTGATCAGCCCTCTAATGTGGCCTAGTGTGGGGTGTTCTCGCTAGACAGTATGGATCAAAATCATTCTCTTGTGTGAAAATCGCTGTCTGAAAGGGGGAAAATGTCTGTAGCAACAGGTCGTTTGGGGGGAAGCAAGTAATTGTGTAACTCAGTCTGGATGGATCGATGGATCAAGTGCAACACTCGCCACCCCTAAAAAACACTTTTCCGGAAGAAGGTTACAAATAGCAGTTCCGTCAGTCCGAATTGGGTGTAATCACCATTTCCGTGGAAAGGAGAGGATACATTTCAGGGTAATAATCAAGATTCCGGAGTGGTGATGGCTCACTACAGGTAACACTAAGAATGTATCAGGCACTGGATGAATTTTAGCTACGAGATTCATTCGGCATTAGGCCACCGAAGATTGTCAGTATGTATGGGGGCCAAGATACCACACGGTCAACTAGGCGTGGGAGTAACTGTTTTCGATCCCAAGTTTCTCTTGACACCGAGGTCCACCTATCCCCGTATTTACAAAGCCGTACAATAAAAGTTGGGAGCATGCTCGAAACAGCCCGCATCCTAAGCTATTCACTAGCGAGGGAGGTCATTAGCTGCCGTTGAAATTTCACCATCAAGCAGTTGGCTGAAATTTTTTATTACAAACTATCCGATTAATTATACTCTATTTGCCATTTGACAGTGCATTTGCAACCACAAATTGTTCACAATCCACACAGGGGGTCACACTTGTCGGTATTAACCATATCCCCGCTTGTCAGTCTCGTATAGGGCGTCTGAAAACCAGACTACAGTCTATACTGGTTAAACTGGCATTCCCGCCCTTAACCAACCAGGAACTTGCTCGGATTCCTTATCCTACTATACCTCTCCTTACACCACCAACGACCCATTTATAGAAATAGCCGTGAAAAATGCCACAGGATAAATGGTGGGTTATCGAGCCAGTGACCGTAACCTGTTGAACGTTGTCTGCTGCCTTTGTAAGTATCCCGGCGCTCGTGTTTCCCTCAAGTGGCATGGTAGCTGGGCACCGAAAGATTGTTACAGCTGTGTTTGTCCTAAACGGCCATGTTTGAGGAATTTTAGCGACGCAAGAAATCTACATTGTAGACTCCTTCAGGAGGCTGATCAGCCCTCTAATGTGGCCTAGTGCGGGGTGTTCTGGCTAGACAGTATGGATCAAAATCATTCTCTTGTGTGAAAATCGCTGTCTGAAAGGGGGAAAATGTCTGTAGCAACAGGTCGTTTGGGGGGAAGCAAGTAATTGTGTAACTCAGTCTGGATGGATCGATGGATCAAGTGCAACACTCGCCACCCCTAAAAAACACTTTTCCGGAAGAAGGTTACAAATAGCAGTTCCGTCAGTCCGAATTGGGTGTAATCACCATTTCCGTGGAAAGGAGAGGATACATTTCAGGGTAATAATCAAGATTCCGGAGTGGTGATGGCTCACTACAGGTAACACTAAGAATGTATCAGGCACTGGATGAATTTTAGCTACGAGATTCATTCGGCATTAGGCCACCGAAGATTGTCAGTATGTATGGGGGCCAAGATACCACACGGTCAACTAGGCGTGGGAGTAACTGTTTTCGATCCCAAGTTTCTCTTGACACCGAGGTTCACCTATCCCCGTATTTACAAAGCCGCACAATAAAAGTTGGGAGCATGCTCGAAACAGCCCGCATCCTAAGCTATTCACTAGCGAGGGAGGTCATTAGCTGCCGTTGAAATTTCACCATCAAGCAGTTGGCTGAAATTTTTTATTACAAACTATCCGATTAATTATACTCTATTTGCCATTTGACAGTGCATTTGCAACCACAAATTGTTCACAATCCACACAGGGGGTCACACTTGTCGGTATTAACCATATCCCCGCTTGTCAGTCTCGTATAGGGCGTCTGAAAACCAGACTACAGTCTATCCTGGTTAAACTGGCATTCCCGCCCTTTACTAACCCGGGACTTGCTCGGATTCCTTATCCTACTATACCTCTCCTTACACCACCAACGACCCATTTATAGAAATAGCCGTGAAAAATGCCACAGGATAAAGGGTGAGTTGTCGAGCCAGTGACCGTAACCTGTTGAACGTTGTCTGCTGCTTTTGTAATGCACTACTCACAAGGTTGGTGAAAACTCCTCGACAGCCCACGACCGGTTTCGTCCTTCTTGGGGCTCATCAAGTAGGCGCAGTCCCCGAGTTCGCGTCAATCTTATGTTCTACTTGAAACCTTATGAGTAGCGCATTACAAAAATATACATGTATCGCGATACCTCGAATATCGTAGCGACCGAAACATGAGGCGGCCTGGCGCAGCACATTCAGTTGCCTGGAAACATCACAAACGAGAGATTCAGCTGGGTTCCAGGTGAGTCTCTCGAAAAACCAAAATTAGTTTGCAAATGAGTGCATATTCGCTAGTTGTCTGCTACTGTTCGGTCAATGTTGTCTCAGCTTCGGCCAATGGGGCTCACATACCGAATAAAAGTGTACCAGCCGGTTAGACTTACTCACTTGACCACCGTTTATCCAGAACGACCTACGTTGGCAAGCTATTTTAGACTGAGTAAAAGAACACACGCGTGCTCGCCCTAATCAATGCTGCATTGCTGTTGATGTGAAATGGATTGTGCCTGTGTAACAGGGACACCTGGTTTTCCCAAGTGTACTTGTTGATCAAATCCACATTTCACGGTATGGTCAAGCCTGTTGGCATAGGTGGGTTGACTGTAGCCGAACGGCTGACGCGATTTGTTAATGTAGATGGGCCAACCTTCAACCATTCAGCGGCTTTTGCAGAGGGATATTTAGGCGGTAATCGATTGATGTGGCCGACTATAACGAGCCCGTATGGAACCGTAAAAAGAGGGAAGGTCGGTATTGAAGCTAACTTGACCTCTTGATAGTTATCTCATCCATTTGCTTACTCCGCTGAATGTACCTTTAATCTTTAATCGTCTTGCTAGTTGTAACCACCACTCACCTTGCTGCAAAGGTCGTCCCGTCAGAAACTTGTGTATTAGTATGCGTCTGTGTATGCATGTGCGCAGCTGACCTACTCACCCCATGCGCGTTCGTGCCCGTTCGCTGAGCCTGCCTCAACTTGTTTTCGTGTGATTTCATCGCCAATGGGAATCACGAGACGGAAGGGACGACCGCAACCCACGCTACTGAGCCGTCATTCCGCTCGCCAAGGTTTGGTGTGCGGACGTGGACATTGCACTGTGCCGGTCAGTGACAGACTCGTGCACTTGTTGACGCCACGAACGTGGACAATTGAGGTTTGCTGTGCACATTCGCATACCCTTGTGTCAATAGTACCGGAGAATTACGAACCCAATTCTTCCTTTTGATATTCGGGATTGTCGAACCTACGCGTCACTCAAAGTTCCGTTTCGGGAACCTCAACGGTCGGATGCGGCCATGTGAATTCAGACTACCACCAACGGTTCGTATCAAACCTATCTGGACCGCCTAGAGGGTTCTTAACAAGGATGCTCAAACAGACGACCTTAGCGCTTTCCCGTTAGTTCACTACCATAATTGATACCTGGTCCGTTAACACAACAGGAATTCGGGTCATTTCACAACAGACTGAACAAAGACTAACCCTAACCATAGAATATTGCCAAAGAAAGGTCATCTGATAAGAGTTCTTCTGTGAACTAACGTGACAAAACCGTTTAAGTCTGTGCAGAAGGGAGACTCATTCGAAATCTGTCTGAAACTCTCGGTCAGTTAAAGAACGACTGTCTACAGGTTGGAGATCCGGAATGATCAACCGCAAAAAATGTGTTTGGAAGGTAGCAAAAGACAATTATCGAAAGCACCAACTTCAGCTAATCACACACCATGTGATACTGGCTTGATGAGCAAGGTGTTATATCTTGCTGATTCGCCAATCTGTTGTATCTGACTGCTGACCCCAATCCAGTGCCTGGTGCCGGAAAAAAAGATTCACGGAAGGGAACACAACAGCCATAATCCGAATAAGCGAGTGCGTGCGTGCGAGTGCAAAAATAAAACGGCCTCAAGCTATTTATTGGAGGGACACTGTCTGGACTTGGTCCAACGCTGATGCATACTATTTGGCTTTGATACAAGGCTGTGACGCGCTGCATGTTACGTTGTCTGTCTGGTCAGTATCTATCAGAGCTAAGGGTCTCAGTAGATTTCGGGTTGCTTTCAGAAATCTGACCTTCCTAATAGAATGAATGAGGAATTAGGTGTACGGTGACGTAGCGAAATTGCCCCAAGAAACAAAAACTTACCGTCAAAACGCTTATGATCAGATCGTAATTGTTGATCAAGAATACCCACTTCAACCGTTGTTTGGGCAGGAAGTCTGACAGGCGCACGAGTACTTGCTCCAAGTGTGTGTGCAGCTGAGCTAAGCGGCTTAGAATGCGAGCATCGATAGAGGGCGGTTCAAGTTCATGTGGTGTGGACGACGCAGAGCGTGTAATCTGTTCACCGTCAGGTCGCTTGGAGAAAGTGGTATCAGAATGACTGTGGGACAGTTCTGAGGACGAACCAGCACGACGACTGTCAGACGGCTGTTTCGTCGAGGACAACGAAGTATCGGATAGCAAGGGTGCTGAAAAGCAGAGGGGAGGTGGCGAAAACACAAGGGTCAAGTGGTAGCAGACGATCCGGCTATATCAGCAGTTCATACCATGACCTAAGCGTCACGCGAAACCAAACCTAATGAGTGAGTAGTCCATGGTAGAAAGACCCCCTGCAGCAAAGACTCTACTACAATTTCGTAAACGCACATGCTAGGATAATCACTGAATGAGTTTTCAAGTCATTGAACGCACTATCCGGCCGAAATTTGTTTCTGCTGTACAGGCTCCCTGGAACCTTTAGGTGAGACGTGGTAACCCCCCGGTGAGGGGCAATCGAATAGCAAGGCTACTTAGGAACATAAGGTTGCCAGAAACCCGGGGACTGCGCCTACCTGATGAACCCCAGAAAGGGCGAAATGGTCGTGGGCTGTCGACGGATTTTCAGCAACCTTATGAGTAGTACATTACAAAGAGGCTACTTAGGATACTTATCGAAAATGTTCTTCACACTGGGATGGACAGGTCGCATTGCGTTCTGCAAGGCTCGGTGCGTAGTGAGGATTAGGAATTTTTGGCTTCTTTAGAATAAGCTCTATAGCGGTGGTTGCTTATTGTACTGTGTGTCAGGTAGCGTGAAACAGTTACACGTAAAATAGAGTACGCACTTCCGGGATAGCTGTGTCCAATCGAATGTAGACTGGCCGCCAGCTCAGCGTACCGGCGGGCAACAGGATGAGGTCGTAGCAGCGAGTAGATACGAGCTGGCAAGTTGGCTCCACTCAGACTACCGCCTGGATTCGCAGAAAGGGCGCGAGCGCTACCTGCGAAGGCGTTCACGTCAAAGTCGGATTGAAGAGAGGCGATGTGTGCGTCTAGCCTGTCAGTCACATGTACCCAAAAGCTTTCTGTTATGGAGGTCCAGAATCTGGAAACAACCAGAAAAAACGGTTCAATGCCTGTTCGAGAATGGGACCTATTCAAGCATATATTGGGTCAACTTTATTGCGATTTACTTGTCAAGGACTGGCACGTTGCGATGATGAGCCACTCGAAGCAACGCATGCAGCAACTGAAGACAAAGTAACATGCCGAGAGCGTCATGCGACATGCTCGGAATTAAATGGCTTTCAATTTGTTTGTGTAGTAAGCTGAAGGTTCTTCCCAGCACCTGGTCGAACAGAGCGATGAGAGCGCCGCCATGTTCAGTACGACGATGCGTTGAGTCAGTTGTGGCTGGTGACCGAACTGTGCCAGTACTGAGAAGGAAAAAGTCCGACAGGAAGAAGTACTCGCGACACACGGCATCCAATAAGGCAAAGTGGACGGAGCGGAACAATACTTCGGCGGGATACTGAATGGAATTGGAGGAAACAGCACGGCACTGAGAATACTAGAAAAATCAACGTGAAGCGCAGACTAATTGAAACCTGTTTGAAAAGACATTGTTAGGGTTCGAAATGTACAACAGCCTTTGGAAAGTGTTGAATCGTGAGTGGCCGTCTATTGGTTACGCAGAAACTGAGCTTGCCAGACTACGCGATAAGAAAACAGTGAGCCCGAGAAGGGGCTGTATTGTCAGGAAAAACATACAGAGCTTCTGCGAGATGGCTCAAGTGGTTAGAGCGCGAATTTACTGACCGGAAGGTCCGTGGTTCAAACCCGACCTCTGCCACTCGACTTCCCCTGTCTAGGCTTGGGCAACCTGGCAGTATCCCAGCCCTCGTGCCTCCTTCGTGTTGCATGGCAGCTAGGCACCTAAAGGGTGCTACAGCTGGACGATTATTTTATTTTATTATTCTGCGTAAGTACACAGAATGGCTAAATGACCAACTGTGGTCATTCGCTTGTTCGTTCTGTCCAGCCAATGGCGATGTTCCTGTCGTGAGCAACTTCACACCCACTCCGCTGGTCGGATGCTGCTAAACCGTGTTTGGTAAGCTCCGCCAACGCGCCTGCTTTCCGGGACGTGTGATAACAATAGTGACCTCAGGGACGCGTCGTCCTCTGCGCATGTACTTTTCATGTCTGGAAGCGTCCCGACAGAAAGGGAGACCGACTCTAGGAAAAGGACTTGGAAAATGAGCATCTGACATATTCTGCTGAAAGCAACAACAGCGAATTCATCGACCATGGTCGGAAAACGTGCGGATATGGGGGGGGATACAAAAGTGAAGCTCAGTAGCTGCGGAAAATCATACTTCTAAGGAGTACCACGGTAAGGTTGAGTTAATTCACGTATCGTGTGAATGGCTCTCTCTAGACCGACTGGCGCTTGAAGCATAGAAACCGGAATGGGCCATTTTAGCTGTCCTTTGAGTTGGTCACCCAAAAAGGAAGCGACTGTGGTGGGGAAAACCGCCAACAATGAAACCCAATGAAGATTGTCCTTAAAACTGGCAGCTTAACCCTTAAGCTACAGGTTACGGCTTTATAGTGCAGCGGCGCAGCTCTTCTACATTTCTGGCACAATAGGGTTCGCATAGCAGAATTCCACGAAATTTAGGGAAAACAAGGGAAAGTGGAGACAATACCTTAACGTCAGCCATAGCAGCGACATGAGGAAGGATGATGGGTGCTTCCAACTCAGTACTGCCCAAAACACGAGTGGCACGCTCTCCGAGTCCGAACAGACCGAGTCGGGTATTGCTCGGTGTTGGAGCATGGCCGGTTGCGTTCATCGTTGTGAGTGAGCTCGTGGAGGAGAATGTCATCGATCCGAGTACAGAACTTCCGACACCAGAAGCCGGATTCTGTTCATCAAGACGTTTTCCCAGAAGTAGATCCTTTTCTGCGGTTGTGTCGAGCTGGAGATGGGGTCAGGAAAAAAAACGAATCAGACCTAATAGAGGTTCTAAAAGTAGAGAACACGTCGTAACCGGATCCACTGATAACGCCTCAGTCTGCATGTTGTAAGATCAGCATAGAAAAACGCAGGCGGCTGGACCACTATCCACATAGAAAGGCATTGTGTTGAAATTCTATCGGAGTACCAGTAAAGCCCTCCACAGCCCAAGGATCACCAAGAATTACAAAACTAAAAATAATCTCAAGCCATGTCAGCCTCGAGATGGTGATGGCAGCCAAAACGACTTGATCGCTGCATACATCAGAATGAGTATGCAAAGTCAAGCAACTGCCGAGGCCTTTCGTCTTTCTCTGTCGTTATCTAGTAACTCTTGTCCTGCCCCACCTTCCCATATTGCCTCTACAGACACCAGTGGTAGACACTTTTAGTCAGGTGGTCACAAAAGTAGTCAATAAAACATTACTTTTCGCCTCCTCTCACTCAAAATTAACTGCAGTGCAGCGAACACCGTGCAAACTCTTGAATAGACGGATCAATAAAATGATTCTGTGAGCACAATCTTCATTTTGTAACAGAGGTCCGCTTAACTTCTGAAACCCGGGCGCAAGATTTAAACACAGCGCTTAAGGTATTCCTCTACTCATACGTTTCCGACGACCTGGTTCAGGCAATACTGTAGTTGCGGCAATAATTTGTGCCGGTGTTAGTATACCTTACAGTTCTGGAGCTCAGGACCCCACGAATAACCGTCTCTATGCCGTTCATCTGTCCGGTCCAGACCGACGAGAGGCAAAAGGCCATTCACTACGAAGAGTTTATACATTACTCTAATTGCCCGAAATCTCAAGCAGGACGCCTCGGATCACCTGAGAAAACCATCACTGATATGCTTAGGTTATAATTCACAAGAACGTAGTGAATATGATGAATAGAATAGGCAGCTTTCCACCCGTCATCAGTCGTTTCTCAGTAGCGCGTATGGAATTCGAGCTCGAGGTAGCTTCGTGGTTAAAACATGAACTTAAGGTCTGTGATTCGAACTCAGTCCCAAGATCCCAATCGCTCTTGTCTAGGCGAGATGGCCCAAGTGGTTAGAGCGCCAATTTACTGACTGGAAGGTCCGTGGTTCGATCCCGACCTCTGCCTCTCGACTTCCCCTGTCTAGGCTTGGCGAACCTGGCAGTATCTCAGCCCTCGTGCGACCTTCGGGTGGCACGGCAGTTAGGCACCGAAATGAACGACTCTCTAGGCTTGAACAACCCGGCATCTCATGACTTATATCTAAACAAACTCAAATTTGGGGAGAGCATGACTTGGGAGTGAATGACAACTTTTTCTAAGGGTCCACGTGATCCTCCGTCTGAGCCTGGTGGGAGACACTGCGAAACACGGCTGTGAACCCTTGCAACTGACCTCCTTGGTGTCGTTTCTATCCAAACTGCTTGAATGAGTGCTCGGAGCTGTAAGTAGCTCGTTTCCCTTCACTTTCTCCGGGAACTTTACTTAACTAAGCTGCTACTGTTGTGCGGTACTCAAGCCCCATGGTTTGCCCATTACTTTTGCGTCAGTGGTGCGATGATGGCGACCACTGTGCTCCGTAGTGATTCTGCAAAAAACCGTAATGAGGAGAAATTCACTGACAAAGCAGGACGGACTTGTATGAGGACTTACTTGCAGTTTATTCAGTTTTGTGCAGTAGGCTTTAAAATAGGAATAATAAACCTTGCTCATAGTAGTCACGTATTCGTTGCGTATTTCGATGGCCGTTTCACGATCATGTGCCAGAAGAAACTCATTGTAGAATCTGGAAGAAACAATAAGGGGAACGTAATGATGGGCCGATGCGCAGAACCTACAAGTGTCAAGAACCATATGATCTCCTTTCCCTGCGTGCAACAAGCCATCTAGACGTCTAAGAAGGTTGTCTCAAAGCCAACTATTACCTTCGGGTGGAGTTCAACATATCCTTAAATCAGCTAGTCCCTCTTTCAGTGTCCCGATTCTGAAGAGGACGTGAAAACTGCTCCCCGTAATGAGAGCAAAAAGGATGTATACATGGATGAACGATTTTGCAGTCACCCTGAAAGTATCTCCGACTGACAGTTAGCTGGAGTGGACGACAGGTCCAAAGCTGAAACAGTTGTCCCCCCTCTGAGAAAAACCACTCCTTGCAGAAGACCACTTCTGTTCGATCATTTAAGGTATTGATTCCAAGTTTGTAAACACCACCTTGGAAGCCATATTCCGCAACTAACACAGTCTCTTCCGAACTATTTAAGACCGTAGGCAAGCAACAAAGGAAAAGATCGGCAACCACACTCACCTGTATTTGAGCATCTGATTCTGTGGAATCTGATAGTTTGTCAACGGTTTCCGCAGGGCATAGATCTTCTGAAGAAGATACTCGCGAATCTTTGAAACGGCCTGAAGAAAAACAGAAAAAGACATGAATATATGGTTCCTTACAGGCTGTATCCGACAACGTATGACCCAAAACCCATGGCATCCTTTTGGCACAGCTGTGTCTAGACTCATGAAGAGGATAAGGATGGACACATAGGCCACCGAGCACTAGCATACATAATAATGTACGTTGGGCGTTTGTGCGTGGGGGGGGGTGATGACCCGCCACCTTGTGAAGTTATTCAAGTGACCAAGTCAGAGAATGCGTATTCAAGATCATCAGCGTTGGTGAGCACCCCACATATGCATCAAATCAGAGGCCGACGGTACTATTACAAATGTTGGCAAGAAAAAACCTCATGTGGCACAAGAGGCATCCACGAGTATTATGGAACACGACAGCCATAGTCGTCGAGAAATGAGCTCGGATACACAAACAGCCTGAGGAGCGCGACCGGTGAGGCAACAACCCCAAGGAGAAACACTTCCAAAGTGATTTGGATTACTCCACAGTCGGAATCCGATCATCGTTACAATCAGTAACCGAATGGAAAACACTTTCTGATCACAGTATATGTGTAATGCGTTACTCACAGGGTTGCTGGAAATTCGTCCACATCCCACGACCGGTTTCGCCCTTCTTGGGGCTCATCAGGTAGGCGCAGTCCCCGAGTTCCCGTCATTCTTATGTTTTACTGGAGACATCACAAACGAGAGATTCCGCTGGGTTCCAGGAGAGTCTCCCGAAAAACCAAATTAGTTTGCAAATGAGTGCATTTCGCTAAATTCGTGCAATTTTGGTTCAAGTGGAACATAAGGTTGACAGACACTCGGGGACTGCGCATACCTGATAAGCCCCAAGAAGGGCGAAACCAGTTGTGGGCTGTCGACGAATTTTCTGCAACCTTATGAGTAGTACATTACAAAGATATACATGTATCGCGATATCCCGAATATCGTAGCGACTGAAACATGAGGCGGCCTGGTGCAGCACATTCAGTTGCCTGGATACATCACGAACGAGAGACTCAGCTGGGTTCCAAATGAGTCTCTCGAAAATCCAAATTATTTGCAAATGAGTGTACTTTGCTAATTTCTGCTCCCTTTGTATCAATAGAATAATGACTCGTTACAATTACAGTGATCAATAGCATTTAACAGAGTTCCGTATCGTAATCACGTCGTCCCGTGGGACAACAACACGAAGTAAGAATAACTATTCCAAGACATGTGTTGTGACTTGCTGAACGGTAGTGCCACTCTGTATCGGTCCCTTGGCTTCCTGCTCCGCCCACTATGGTATGTCAAAAGGCACGGTAGCTCTACACGGCCCTTTATGGAGACAAAGGGAAATTATTACAACTGTAGTTATAGGGTAATCACAGAGCGGGCTGTCGAGGGGTTTTCAGCAACCTTATGAGTAGTGCATTACAAAATAATCAGAAAGTGTTTCACAAGGTCATGTTAGAAACTCTGTGAGGGGGCGAGAAGCAATTCTAGCTGCCACGATTTCGATCACCGGAAAACGGGAATGTGGAACGCACACGCCAAGCCTTGGAGACGGAGGCATGTTCAGTTTGTTCGGAAATTGGGTAGCTACGCACTGAAGGCGATAGCTTTGATGCACGAGCGCAATTGACTGCGCGATTGGGCCATTTCCGCCAGTGTCATTAACCATTGGTGATTTGAGTCCCGGGTCCCCATCCAGGAAGGCGGCAGTTGACAGCCCGACTAAATTTACTGGCTAGTGTTTTCGTACTCCGTTGATTACTAATCCGATGTTCCCACCAGACCTGACCAATGCTTCGGAGACACCGATGATCAAACACTGACATCTTCCGTATGTCCTTTGTGCGTGGGATTCATGTCTCTGATCCATAAAGCAGTATGGATCGCAACACCGCACTGTAAACTCTTCCCTTGACAGAAAATCGGTCTCCTCGTTTTCACGGTTACTTCATTTATTCATTTACACACTGGGATAAAAATCAGTATTCATGTGCAGGCGTGCTGATGTGTGCTATCTACATGATTTTATCTTAGCCCAAAATAAAAACCCACTACCTAAGCTTGACATCAGTCAGGAAGCAAGCATAGAGATATAAGCTATTGCACGATACATCGGGTTTATTTCTTCACCTGTATCTCTTCAGATGTATACTACAGAACGATGTCAGGCGAATAAACAACATACGACAAGTCTTTATCAGCTGGTTATCGGATCATTGCCCACGATAACATCGATTCCTTACGTTCACTCAGCTCTGGTTTCCACCTTCTGATAGCAATAGATTAAGCAGGTCAGTGGTTGAGGTGCAAGCTTACTGACCGGGAGGTTTGTGGTTCGAACACAACCCCAACATCCCCACTGTTCCTGTCTGGGCTTGGGCAATCCGGGACTATCTTATCTCTCGTGCTTTCTTCGGGTGACATGATAGCCAGATACCGAAAGGGTGTTAAAGCTGAGGGTTCACATTCA